TAGGGCGGCACCGACAGGTCCGCGTCCGCCAGCGCCACCTTGCGGCTTATAAAGTCTCTGAACACCGAGAAGTCCGGCTCCGGGCTCGACGGTCCCCGAGGCAGCGAGTGGCGCTCGGAGGAGGAAGCAGCCTGTGGGGGACTGGCCGTGCCCCCGCCCGCGTCGCCACCCTTGAGCTCCCCGAAATCGTAAAGGCTCCGCAGCGCTGACATGTCATAGGCCTCGGTGTCCTGCTCGCCGCCGCCCTCATCGTTGTATTTGATCACGTTGTCCCGCATGTCCTCATCCACGTCGGAGCTCAGGTGGCTCTTGTGGTGACGCCTGAGGGTGAGGATCAGCAGAGCCAGCACTGCGGGGTGGGTGGGGGAAGACAAGGAGACAGAGTGAGGGCTGAGCTCAGCATAGGACACTCGCTGCCTGGTTTCCCTTCATCCCCAACCCATTTTCTTACAGTGAGAACTGAACTGAAACTCAAGGTAGGTGGTGAGCTATTCATCTCAGGAGGTATGCAGATCGCAGAAACACCGCTAGTGGGACTGGGCTTGCCAAGCAGAGCTGTGCTAAGGATTTACACTCGATTTGAGGGCCAGCCATCCTGGGCTCTAGGCGCTGTAAGGTTGAAGGCACCTGTCTGCCTGTCTGTCTTCTGTCCTTGCCCTCCTCCATTCACCCTCGGAATTCTCTGCTTCTCATTCAGTGTCTCAGTCAGAGCGCTCTCTCTCTCTCTCTCTCTCTCTCTCTCTCTCTCTCTCTCTCCACACACACACACACACACACACACACACACACACACACACACACACAGAGTGTGGCCTCTTCAGCAGCAGCAGCTGCAAGGAATTCATCACAACTGTGAGACCTTAGTGGGTCCTAGATCTGCTTCTGAGGCCTCCCCTTTCCTCCTCTCAATTAGCGAGGGACAGGTCACCACAGCCCAGGTCCTGCCAAGTTAACCCCAATAAATATCCTCTGAGACCCAAAAATGTTCCCCTAGCTTGGTGCCTGGCATGGAACAAACATTAGATGTGTGCTCGCTTGTTTGCTGAATGAATGAATGGATGGATGGATGAATGAATGAATGGAGGAGTTGCCGGGAGACTGACTGAAAGGAGTGAACGAATGACTTCATATCCTTCTTCGTCCGGCCCCCAAGACTTCACATTCCTCTCCTCTTCTTCCCACCTTGCTGACGTCACTAATGCCTTCTTCAGTCCTCCAAACTGGCTCTCCTTCCGGGCTCCCCCAGCTCCCTAGCTGTCTTCCCAGGACCTGTCCCTCCACAACACTCCCCTGCTCGGCACTGCCCTGCAGGTCCGTGGCTTTGACTTTGCCTCTACCAACTTCAGTTTCTCTGGCCCCAGCCTGGACCAGTTTCCACTCCTCTGGGTTGACCAAGAGAATCTCATACACCCAAAGTTGAAATGATCTTTCTCTTTCCCACTACCTCCTCTCCCTCCACCAGGCCTCAGAGAACGTGAAAGGAGGAAGAAAGAACATAAGAGCCTTTTAAGAGCCGTAGTGGGGGAGGGGTGCTGTGACGAGCTGCCTTCTGAATTCGGCTGTCACACAGCAACTATGGTCAAGTCAGCTGACCTTCCAGCAAGGATAGGGGAGGGGCCAGTGAGGACCCACCCTTAGCCCTAACGTTACCTTGGTGGAAGCCTAGAAAGGAAGAGCCAGGGTTTTTTCCTTCAGGGTCCTGGTCACTGGTAGTCTGACCACGCTCCCGTGGATGACCACACGTGCAGGCAGCACTGATGGGACTCAATGGGTTATTACAGCAAAGACACAAAGAGGACCTGAGGGCGGGAAGGGGACATGTTGGGAGGGTCTGGTGGGGGGGGAGGTTGTTGGGTGGATATAATCCAGATACATTGTATATATGTCTGAAATTAAGAATAATTTTTAGTTCACTGTGTGTTTGTGTCTGGGTGTTCTGCTTGCTGTGTGTCTGTGCGGCACAAGCACAGCGCTGGTTGACGCCAGAAGATGGGTCAGATCCCCAGCAACTGGAGTTACAGATGTTTGCGAGCTGCCATGTGGGTGCTGGGAATGGAACCCAAATCCTCCAGAAGAGCAGCCAGTGTTTGTAACTGCTGAGCCATCTCTCTAGCCCCGAGAATGAGTTTAAATAAAAATCTCTTGCTCAGTGATAAACCCTGTTGTGGAAACATCTGAGAGGGGTTCACTGATGGATTTGTGAATAGCTGATGTTGGATAGAGGAGTGGATACATTGATGGACAGACACATGCCAAGCCCTGAGGCAGGGTTAGACTCTTCTATCGGCTCCAGACTGACCCAGCCAGACCTGCAGCCAGAGCCAGCACGCGGGGTACGAACTTGCCACCTAACATGGTAGCTTACAACAGGGAAGGGAACGGGGCTAGAGGCAGGCTTTGAGGGAGGGCTGGAGGGAAGGAACGTGTCAAGAGAGAAGGGGAGAAGATCGATGGACAGTGTTTGAAGCTGGAGACCCAGGGCTGTGGAAGGGATGCCCAGGAGAGCAGATGGTGAGGATTGCGGGCAGCGGGCGACAGATGTGCCAGACCTGATCAGTGATTCCGCCCGTCACCTTTAGAGCACTGATGTGCACTTTCTTCGTTTGTGGGCAATTAGGCAGAAATTTGTTTGCACTGCCTCGGAAAATGAAACCGCTGTAAAGTGCACCCAATGGAAAAAAGGGTTTCTGAGCCGTGGGCTGTGCTGGGGATGGAGGGGGCTGCGCTCCTGGCCTCTGCAGGGATCTGAAGGGGCGCAGTAGGTCACTGGAGATGAACAGTATGAGGGGGGTTGTCATCTCCTGGGGGCCTGGGCAGGGCTGGCAAACATGGTCTCCAGAGAACTCCGTGCTCTGGCTGTGGTGTCTACAGTCTGCACTAGGGTGGCCATGGCTGTGACAGCAGTCATAGGCTGTCACATCTCTTCTCACCAGGGACACTGGGGTTCAAGTAGCTTCTGGTACCAGTGTCCCCAGTGTCGAAGGACGTTGTCCCAGGTGCCCCAAGGTGTTGTTTCATGGCAGGTGGTAGAGTTAGAGGTGGAGACACAGACTAAGGAGACCTAACCTGTGCCACCTTAGCCAAGCCAAATAACCTCTGTGAACCTCAGTTTCTTCATCTGAGAAACGGGTTGATACGCCTAGTCATGCAGCCATGCGTCTCTTTACGGAGAACAAATAAGGGCACTAGACAAGAGAATTTAAAAGCTAGGCTTGGTGTCCATCTCCCTCCTCCTGGCCTCCTTGAAACAGAGATTAATGTCTGATAGGTTTGTCTCAAACTCCCTGTATAGCCAAAGATGGCCTTTAACTTCTGATACTCTTGTCTCTGCTTCTTAGTGTTGGGATCACAGTCCTGCACCATCACCCCCTAATTTATGCAGTACTTGGGATTGAACCCAGAGCTTTGTGGACGGTGGGCAAACACTCTACCAATTAGGTCACACCTCAGCTCCCTGTTTCTTTTTATTGATAAGGGGTGTCGTTCTGTAGTCCAGGTCTTTCTGGAACTTATTACATAGCCCAGGCGAGCCTCTAACATGCAGCAATCCTCCTGCCTCAACTTCCCAAGTGCCGAGATTCCAGGAGCGACCCACCAGACTGGGCTATACATGGGGTTTTAAACACTAGGGAATCTTGAACTGCGTGAGGGGCACTACATGAATTCTGTCCCAAGTGGGCCACCATCCGCACTTCAGAGCCTTCCCACGGGGGCTGCAGGTAGAGGTCGGAGATGCTTCTAGCCAGTCTATTGTTATAGAGGGGAGACTGAGGCTCCCTTCCCAGGCTGTGGTCTATCTGGGCAAGGAGGCCCAAGTCCAATAATGGTGGGATGCACATGAACTCACCGACTAGAATGAGGACACAGACCAAGAGAGCAATGAGTGCACCGGGGCTGAGGGAGGCAGCCATGACGAAGGCGGTGGTGTTGCAGGACTGGATGGTGCCGGAGCTGTCGCAGCCACAGATGCGGATGGTGAGGGTGCCCGTGCTGCTCAGTGTGGGTGGCCCGCTGTCCACAACAAGGATGGGCAGGAGGAATACATCCTGCTCTTGCCGGTTGAAGCCCACATGCTGTGTATGCACCGCAGCTGTGTTATCTGTGCGGAAGAAACGGGGGTGTGTGACTCAGGGCTGGTCCAGACCCCGGCGCAGCCACATCCTGAGCCTACCTCGAGATCTGCGCCTTCACACCCCGAACTGCTGCCTCTCCAAGGATCCACACGTCTGTCCCTTTATCTTCCCTAGTTCTGCCCCAGCTGCTGAGATCCTCTGGCTCACAGAGCCCCTGGGTGTCCTCAGCTGTCCCCGGATTCGGTTCCCAGCTGTCCTAAGTGTGTTTTCATCAATTCTAAGATGTTTTGCTCCCAGCTGTGCCAAGGTACTGTTCCCAGCTAATCCAAGATTCTGTCCCCAGCTGGGCCAAGGTCCTGGCCTTGGCTATGCCAACTTTTTTCCCCATTGATATCAAAGCTTTGCTTTGTTCCAGATTCAGCTCCCATTTCAAATGCACTCTGCTTTTAGGCGTCCTGTGGTCCTTGGTTGTGGTTTGCTGGACCTTGACAAATCCAAGGTCATCAGAGGTGGCTGGCAGCACTGGCTGGCACGAGCCTGTCGCTGAGGGGCCTTTTTGCTCTCCATGTTACTCAGAAGTTCTGGAGCACGGGTGTTCATTACAAAGCCGAGCTTCCGGGGCGGGAACACAGCCTTCATGGCCAGATGAGGAAACCACAGAGCCTCGCCTCCCTACCCAAAGTTGTCCTTTTCACACAGGTGGCCAGAGAGAGGGGTAAACTGCACAGCGATGCCTATTGCCCAGCCTGAGCTTGCTGCAGACCAGGCAAAACTGGCAAAGGGAAACTGTTTGGCAGCATAGGACAAGGGACAGGTGGCACTCACTTCCTCCCCTTTTCCTGCCTTATCCACACCTGTCCCACGTACACCAGGCAGCACTGACCCTTGCTTTCTGGGAGCGCCTCTCCATCCTGCACAGTGTGGGAGTGTGAAGGGCTCAGAGCCCCAGGAGTGACACTCCACCTCTGCTGATGGCCTACTGCTTGCCTGCCAGGCCCAGCTCCCCTTAACCTTGTCAGCACAGGTTCTCACCTGAGACCTTGGGAGCCCAGAGCCCTTTCCCATTGTTGTGGGTCCCAGGTATCTCAAGGAAACCTATGCTGGTGTGGAGAAGCAAGCTGAGGTCTTCCTGGGGCTAGTTTCTAAACTACCCCAGCCCCGGGCAGAGCCAGTCTCCCCAGCTGCCCCTCTCAATAGTCTTCCAAGTCTGGTCTTCTTTACCATGGGTACAATGATGAGGAAAGAGCCCTTGGGAAGACTGCTTCACGGCCTTGAACACACATAGGAGGTGGGCAGAGGTTCAGATGTGACAAGGTTCAGTGTCTTTTTCTACCACTGTTGTGCATGGTTGAACATTTCCATGTAAGTGTTAATAACACGTATGCACCGTGCACTAGCTCACTCTGTCTTCAGTGCCCTCATCAGTAAACAGAGCCAGGGTCTCACCTCGCAATGAGGATGGAACAGAATCGTTCCCAGCACACAACAGTTCCTCCTAAATGCTGGTTGATAGTTCTCGCACGTGCCGCACCCCACACCTGCTCCCCTGTTTGGATGTCTCTGCCTCGCTTCTGCAAGTCTCTGCTATCTGGGACATCCTCTCTGCCTTCTTGCCTGGGCAAATTCCTCATCCATCATGCTTCATCTAGATACAACTTCTCCTCCATGGCTTCTTTTCTCCACTTCCTGGGAAGGAGGGATTTATAGCTCCAGTGCCCTGCTTTGACGACTTGGACCCATGCACGGTCCTGTTGTGGCACTTGTCACCTTGTAAGAAGCAAATGTGCGCCTGTTTCTTCTCTCCTGGCCAGCTGGAGCCTGGCCCTATGTCAGTCTCAGGGGAACAAAGTTTGAAGGAACCACAACTCTTAGGCTAAGCGGCAGCTATGGGTCAGTGCCTCAAGTTCTGGTTTAGCCTCCGGAGCCTCCTGTTAAAGGCTGAGGCAGCTCAGGCTAAAAAACACTGCCTCCTACCAGGGAAGAAAGGAGGCCCAAGTGCAGAGGGCAAAGAAGGGGATGGAGGAGGTTACATCAGCACCAACTGGATGCTTCTCATATATCAGCCTGTGGGCATGTGAAACACACATTTTGGCTCTTCTAACCATGGCTGGGGCAGGGTCTCCTTGGTGTATATGTAAACTAGGCTCAGCAAGAAGTGACTGGTGAGGCCGGCATGGTGGCTCAGCAGATGAAGGGGCTCGCACCAAGCCTGATGACCTGCGCTCCACCCCTAGGACTAACATGGTGGACGGAGAGACCCAACTCATCCAAGTTATCCTGTGACCTCTAAATGCCATGTGGCACACCTCCCTGCACCCGACTCAGGACACAAAATAAACAAATGTCATTTTAAAAACTTTCAAAGAAGTGACTACAGGCTAGAGAGATGGCTCTAGCTATCACTATATACACACACCTTCCAACATCCACCCATCGTCCATCCATCTACCCTCTACCACCCACAGATCCATCTGTCCATCCATTCTCTAGCCTTTATACATACATTCACTTTCCATCATCCATCCACCCATACACACATACATCACACATACACAATCCATCCACAGATCTATCTACCCATCAGTCCTCTCGCCTTCATACATTTGTCCACTTTCCAGCGTCTATCCGTCTCTCCTCTATCTATTCGCCATCTTCCATCTCTACTCTTCCTACCCTCCAGCACTCACCCACCCACCATCCATTTCCGTCCTCTGTATCCCACCTACCCATCCACTCGTCATCATTTACCTGTCTGTTCATTCGTGCTTCACTATATACCTATTTATCCCTCACCTATCCCCCAATCCTCCTTCCGCCATCCATCAGCTTCCACTCCTTCATCCATCTCCCCTCGCTTGCCATCTACCAATTCCTTCCCTCCTCCCTCCTTCTCCCTCTCCTCTTTCCCTCCCTCTCTCATTCTCTCTCTTCCTTCTTCAGCTTTTAGTTAACTGTTGCCACTAGGCTGCCTGCCGGCTGCTGAGGGGAAATAATGTCGAGCTAAGTCAGCTGTTGCCTGGATCAGAGCTAGCTGCTGATGTCAGAGACAAACACTAATTGAAGGAGCCCACAGCTCGGTCTAGGATCACAGACCGTGAGAGTACTGGGAAGGACCATAGGGGGAAGACTGTGTGAGAGGACCTGACCATGCGTGGGAGATCGGGGAGAGTTTCTTGGGAGAAGTGATAGATATCCGAGCGGAACTTTATCCTGGGGTGGGGGGGTGGGTAAGTCCAGGAAACCAGAACAGCCCGTGTGTTGACGCTGAGGCTGAAGCCCAGTCCGTGGCTGGAGAGAGGCAGAAGCCCATCCTGGGAAGTTTAGCAGGCCAGTTTTCATAAGGAACTTGAGCTACTTTCTGAAAAGCAGGCGACCATTGATTCGTGGGCTTTAAACCAAGAAGTGACCCAGTGATACATCTTCCATTCATTCCACAGCAAATCTGAACTGAGGACTCCCTATACATCAGGATTATTCTAGCCCCTGGAGACATGGCTGTGAATAAGATAGACAGGGTTTCTGTCCTGGCTTGAACCTGCCTGGTAGCCAAGGAGACTTACAATGGAAAATACAGGCATTGCCATGGACTACAGGTCAGAAACGTCCGTGTGTTTCGCGAGAGACAATAGCAGGAGTGGCAGCAGAGAGACGCAGACGGATTTGAGAAATGAGTGGCTGGCCCTGGCCCAGCCTCCAACTGCCAAGCAGGACAGAGATGCTGTCCCAGGGTTGCTGTCTCCCACTACGCAGTCAGATGTTCTGAGCACTCAGAGCCCTGCCATACCTCCGCCCGGTGGAAGGGAATTCCTGGGGTATCGCCCTGACCCCATCCACCTGCCTTCCTCTGAGAAGCTACTGACCACCCCAGGCCTGCCCCACCCTTCAAGGCGGGACCCGTGCCCGGGAGTAGCATCCATCCATCTGGCCCGACATCCATCAGCGTCAATCCCTGGCTGCAAAGGCAATATTTATAAATCACATTTCCAAACTGGCTACACATTTGTACAAAGAAGCAGATGGGCTGGGGTAGTTGCTTGTCACCTAAGATATTTATACGGCAAGGAGGTGGGGGTTGGGATGTTGAGGGACAGGGCTGAAGGGCTGGAGGAAGAGGTTTTCCGTGGCTGCTCTGACCTCATCAGGCTAAGGCTACCCTGTCCCCAAAGCTTTCCCTAGAGGACAACCCCAGAAAGGAGCTCTGGAGGCCCCTAAGCTGGGAGAAAGGGTAGGGGTGGAGCCTCAGGCCCCAGAGTTGCAAAGACCCTTGAACTTAGAGAGGCAGGTACAGGACTGACCATGGGCACCAGCTCAGGGTAGGATGGGAGGAATGTGTGGGCTGAACTGGACTGGTTGTTGAATTACTTCCAAAAAGATTTAAATAGCTGTGACTCTGAGCTTCAGTTTCTCCTACAGCCTTAGCCCTTCTCACAGCCATGCCTCTGCCCTCCGTGGAGGGGCTGATGCCAGACACAGCAGGGGCTCCAGGGTCCAGCTCTAGCTGCCTGTCCTTGTCCTCAGGCCTCAGTTGTCAGAGTAGAGGCTCTGCATGGTAAAGACTCTTAATGTGGCTCCTGGGAACACAGATGGGTTGGACTTCAGTGGCCTTAAGGCGTCTCCCTGTAGGGGGTAGGGTCTAAAGTTCTTGGAAGTGACCCCAGGCCTGTTCCAGGACCAGAAGGACCCAACATGGTCTAACCTCACCCCCACCCCATGCCTCTTGACGTGTCCATTTCCACTTCTGTTTTCCATTTGTTTGAAACTCGCTGTTTCGGCCACCAGCCGGTTTTCCCTCCGGTTATCTGCGTGGCTCACTCCCTGGTGGCCTTTAGTTTCTATGTATTCGTGTAAGTGTTAAGTATATGCGCGTGTGTGGTATGTGCTTGTGTGAGCATGGATATGCAGTGTGCCTGCCTGTGTGTAAGAGGCAGATGTCGGTGGCCTGTCTTCCTCTATCGTTTTCCACCTTAATTTCTGAGCCAGGGTGTTCTTGGCCAGGAACTCACCGATGAGACTAGGCTAGCTGGCAGCACGTTCCCAGGGTCCTCCTGTCTTTGCCTCCCAGTGGCAGGGCTATAGAAACACACTGCTGTGCCCAGCTGACATGGGTGCTGGGGATTTGAACTCACGTCCTCATCCTTGCACAGTGGGCACTTGACCCACTGAGCCATTGGCCACCCATTTCATCGACTACTCCCTAGAGAGGCCCTCCCAGACCACCTTTCATTTTCAACTTCTTGCCACACAATTTACTGAACGCCTACAAGGTGCCAGCAGTGCTCTGGGCACCCAAAGTCCCACCACGAACTGAATGAGGCCCAGACTCTTGAGGAACAAGGCTGCGCTCTCCCTCCTCCCTGGCCACTCATCATGCCTGATATATTATTGATTTGTTTAATTTCTGTCTTGCTTCAATAGAATATGAACTCCACGAGGGCAGAGATTCTCTCCCATCTGTCATTGTGTTTCCAGGGCCCAGAACAGAGCTTGCTACATAGGGACTATGACTCAACAGTGCTTAATAGTCTGAAAGTAGACAGTGAGAGTTTGGGGTCTACAGTCTGCCCCAGGAGCCCTCCTCCTCCGGGGGTACCCGACCACGTGAGGTGCTGTGTATTAGCCCCATTTTCAGACAATGAAACAGAGGCTTAGAGAGGAAGTCATGGAGAGCCCTTAGCTGAGTGTGGGCTGCCTGCTGGGATCCTCACTCCTGTCCGTTGACATCTGCCCCGCTCAGCTTTGGCTTTGCTTTTAGAGATTTCAATGCCACTGTAATGAGGACTTTGGATGAGGATGGAGCACAGTATCATGAGAGACTCAGCTCAGGCAGGTGGGCAATTGCTTCTGCAGGAGCGAAACTGAGTCACAGAACATCTATACTGTATAGAGACAAGTGTCTCTCTCTCTCCCTCTCTCTCTCTTACAGTGTGTGTGTGTGTGTGTGTGTGTGTGAGTGAGTGTGAGTGAGTGTGTGTATGTGTGTGTGTTTGTACCTTATGGGTGTGGGTATGAAACCCCTAAGTGTAGATGTGAATTGAACTGGAAAGGTTCAGTAGGCATGCACCCTGAAAGACCCGGCAGAACTCTGGGAAGAGCCTTTTCCTTCTGAGACAACTAAGGTGGGGAGGGATGGGAAAACTGCCCTCCACTGTGTCTCTGAGAATGCCACAAGGAACTTGAGCTGGGCGGCACTTTGAACCACACGTGCTGGTGTGTGTATGGCACTGCCTTTCTGTCACTTGGCTCAGGGACTGTCCTCCAGTGTCTACCCTACGGCTCCCCTGGGTGCTCAACTGACATTCTCTGCCCTTGGGATGTATCCCTTCACCAAGGCAACCCTCGGGGTTGGCCAGTGGCTAGGTGTCAGCCATAACTGGTCTCATACTCTGTGATCTTGGACTCAGCTCTGGCTCTCATGGAGTCTTAGTTTCTACAGAGGAGGAAGGCAATATGCTGGCCCTCTCTGCCACCCTGGGGGTGATGGCTCACAGGTAGCTCACCTTGGATGTCCAGCAGAGAGAAATGAGGGTTGCTGGGTGCTTCCGGTACCAGGCGGAAATAGAAGTGGTGACCACCCTGGGGCTCATCTCTGTCCACCACGCTGATAGTTTGGATAAGCTGTAGGGTAGGGAGGGGCAGGATACAGAATGTGGTGAGATGGGGGCTCTGGCATGACAGCTCCCTGGTCCCCAGTCCCTCTGGGTACCTGGCCTGGCTTGGCGTCCTCACACACAGCTGCCTCGTAGGGTGTAGCCAGCTCCGGGGGATTGTCGTTCACATCCAGGATTCGGATCCGGAGAGATGCTCTCGATAGCTGGGCATGATTGTCTGTGAGAAGAGTGAGGAGGGCAAGCAGATTCAGGGATGAGATTAGACAACTGCTAACTCCTAAAAGGTTAGGCAGTGGAGTCAACCTGACAGACACTGTGTGTTATCCAAATGGGGACAAGGACCAGGGCTGGGGACATCTAGGATTAAGACGCCGCGATCCCTACCCCAATCTCTTAAACATTTCCTCTACCTTCTGCCATTCTCATCTATCCCCACCACCATCTCTGCACCATCCTCTCCACCATGCCCATCTCCACCACACCCATCCCCACCACCATCCTCTCTACCACCCATCTCTACCATCCACCACCATGCCCACCTCTCCACCATGCCTATCTGCACCATTCCCATTCTATCGCATCCCCACCACCATCCTCTCCACCACACCCATCTCCACCACACTCATCTCTACCATTACTATATCACCGTGAACACTTCCACTATTGCCACTCCACCTCTGCCGTTACCATTACCATAACCATCTTCACCATCCTCCTCTCCATCTCCACCATAGTCTTCACCATACTCACCATCCCTATCCCTATTATTGATATTAGTGTCAATCCCATGGCCATTACCACCACAACCTCTGCGGCCATGAACAACAGTACCACCCACCCATCACCATCACCATCACCATCACCAATACCATCACCAATACCATCACCATCACCATCACCAATACCATCACCATCACCATCACCAATACCATCACCATCACCATCACCAATACCATCACCTGTTGTGGGAGTAACTTCCGCTGCCTCAACCAATAGTTGCTGAAATACAAGCCCACAGTGCAGCGGAGAGCGACTTCTGCTCCGTCAGCCAATAGCTGCTGAAATACCAGCCCACTGGGGCGTGGTATATTTCTCTTTTAAAAAGAGAAGCAGATCCGGATCAGGCCCTCTTGGTTCCGGCTCTTGGTTCCGGTGCTTGGTCCCGGCTCCTGCTCCCGGCTTCCGCTCCCGGCTCCTGCTCCAGCGACTAGGCTCCCTTCCTGACGGTTTATGGTGTATGTAAGTTTTACCCCCCAAAATAAATAATCCCTTAAAACATAACTGGTGTGGGATTAATTCGCCGATAATCACCATCACCAATACCATCACCATCACCAATACCATCACCATCACCATCACCAACACCATCACCATCACCAACACCATCACCAGTACCATCATCATCAGCATCAGCATCACCATCACCATCACCAATACCATCACCATCACCAATACCATCACCATCACCAATACCATCACCAATACCATCACCAACACCATCACCAGTACCATCATCATCAGCATCACCATCACCAATATCATCACCATCACCACCAGGAGCACCACCACAATCTGTATTGTTACTACTTTTACTGCCACCACCATTACCATATCATTAATGCTACTAAACCATCACTATGACTACCAGCAACACTGTCTTCCCTGACTCTAGCAGGTAATGAACAGTGGCATCCTCACCACTGTCTCCATCATCCCAGGAGATCACCATCACCACATCCATTAACTCCATCCTTGTTATTCCCCCATCCTCCCAGGTACTAAGACTATCACCCTCATGGCCACTGTCCCTCTATCACCACCACCGATGTTTTAACCTCTATCACCAACAGCACTAGCACCATCTTCAGTGTAGCTACAATGATGGCCAGCCAGTTCAATACCACTGACACCTCCACCACAATCACCAGGTACCCTCAGAGGAAGCCTCTGCCTCCAACGCCCTGTCACCTAGAGAGCACTGAGTGCTCCCCGAGCACACATGCCCATCGTTCAGCTGCCCTTGTGGATTCTGTGGTTTACTAAAATTCATGTCCCCACACTGCAAAGGAGAAACTGAAATATGTGGCCATGTCTAGACAGTGGGTCAACTGGTGACCGAGCCCCTAAATTGTTGTTCTCAGTACATCTGGCCCTGCAAAGACCAGATGAGTTCAAGGAGGTGCATCTGGCCAACAAATGGGATAGAATAGCTTGTCCCTCACAGTTGGGTAGATGAATGGAATCTGAAGAGATGGAGATGAGGCCTGAGTTTCTGGGGTGGTTGAAACCACGACCCAGACCTTGAGTGTGGACAAGACCCTGACATCAGTTTCTATACTTAGAAGGTGGACAGGGTGTGGTGATTAAGACTGGGTCTGCCTCTGCCACTTAGGAGTTTTGTGATCTCAGCCAAGTGAGCTGACTTCTCTGCATTTGTTTTCTTGCTACGAGTTAACAGCTACAAAGTGCTTGGATCTGTGCACACAGAAGACCCGCACACAGGTTTGTAGTAGTAACCGAGAACTGGCTGCCTCAGCCTGGCCTCTCTGAGCCCTTCCCTGAACACTGGTCCTTCTAGCTTCCCCCTACCTGGGTCCCATTGTTACCCCATCCTCAGCGAGCATGCTCACTACTGACCTTGTCTACCTGCTACTCACTGCAGGTGCAACCCCCAGGAGAGTAAATGTCACCCCATTTCCAAGCAGATGCGTGGATGGTGAGAGTCCCCAGCTGAGTTGGCAGAGAGCTATTTTGGGGGCAGTCTGGGAGTTCCCAGGAATCCAGGCACCCCATGAGTTTTGGAGGGAGTGGACCCATCTGCTCTGAACTCAGAGGCTGCTGGATGCTGACTGCAGCTGCTGGAGAGGACAGAACTGGAGATGGGAAGGCAGGTGGGCCACCTCTGGGGAAGCAGGGGAAGGAGGGAAACTCTTTGCTTAGCATTGCTGACCCCTTCTTGGAGTTCCCCTCAGTTAGGGCCATGTTATCTCCTCAGTTTATCAAGATACGCCACCTCAGCAACTAGAGGGACTCTTCCGGGACTGAGGGAGGGAAGTCGTGATTGGGGATGCCAGTGAGCCGTTATTTTTAAGAGCATGTTGCCAGAGAACCTCCACAGGCAGATGGGGAGCTTCTGGGAGGGCGGGTGGGGGAGGGGGAGGCAGGCGGGTGTCTGTCTCCCAGCTGATGGTGGGGCTAGTGAGGGCCCGAGTGTCCTCTATGGCCCCCTGCCTCTGTAGTAGGGGTGTGGGGCTAGAGGAGAGGAGGGAAAGACCTGGGAGCATGGCAGTCCTCTCAGGAAGGGCAGTCACCTTCTACCCAGGTTCTGCAACTGGGAGTCCCCTGTTGTCACACCATGGTGTGTGCTACACTCGGGCCTTCCCAGCCTCCTCCTTCAACGACACATAGGTCACTTTCCCAAGAGAGCCCTGAGTCCTTCTGTCTGAGAAAGGGTCTCAGAATCATCATTGCTCCTGGCTCCCCCCCCCCAACTCCGTGCCCTCAACATTAGACCATGTTTCTCACCCCTGGAAACTCACCCGGGAAGCCTTAAAAAATACCAGTGCTGAAGGTTAGCATTGCCCAAGGAAGTTCATTGTATACCCAGTTTCAAACTCTGCCTTGGGGTGAATGGCAAGACTCTGATATCATCCAGTCCTGCCTGGTCAGTTCATGTCACTCAATCAGTAATAAATGGACGGCCTGCCTGTAGCCCTGTAACCTTCCAGGGGTCTGCTGTGAAGCAAAACACTCAGCAGTGTTGAGCCTTCACCTCTCCTGTTTATGACCTCACGTGGGTCTCCATACAACCCAGGAAAAGGTGAGATCAAGCCTGTTTTGTAGATGGGGAAACTGAGGCGGGGGGGGCGGGGGGGGGCGGGAGTCAGGAACATCCCTGGAGTTGGCCTCAGCTTCCTAACTCTAAGTGTGTGGTCCAGACACAATGTCTGGCCCTCTTGCTGCCTGCCTCTTTGTAGATCCAGCGGCAGCTGCTCAGACCCAGGCAGAGCAGACCTCACCCAGTGCCCAGTGGCAGGTGCCCCCTCTAGGGGCCAGGTCTCCCATGGCCCTCCTCCCCATTGCCATCTCAGTTCAGCTGACTGACATGCAAATTAGTTTAATTATTTCTTCTTCTAAAATAAATTATATTTTGCAGTAGCTGCAATATGTTGTGTCAGGCAAAATTACATTCAATATTTTTAAACTAATTGATGCAGCCTTGAGGAAGGCTGATTGACAGCCCAGAGCTGAGCGGGCCTGCAGCCTTAACCGATTCCTAAATTAAAATTAAACGTGCTCTGGCCTGGCGCTTCCTTCGTCAGTTGGCTTGCTGTGCATCTGGGGAGGTGGCAGGTGGAGCCCCAGGGGTCGGAAGAGGCTGGGAAGGAGGGCTCTGGGAGAGTAGCTGGACTGGCCTCTCCGCCTCCCGGTGCCCGGTACCCTGGGGTTCCCCAAGCACAGCAGCTGGGGTGAGGTTGGACTTTTCTTCGTAGCAGAGGCTTGTGGTTTTCGCTGACGACTGTGGAATGGAAGTCTCCTTTGTACCAAGGACACAGGAATGAACAAGAACAACACGGCCTTTCGATGTAGAAGTAGAGACAGACACCACTCCAGACTGTGACAAGAATTGAAAAGCTCAGGGACCGAAAGCATGTAGCAAGGAGTCCTGCCCTGCTGGGTGTGAGCATGTTTTCTATGGAGCAAGTGACATTTCTACTCAGATCCAACTGGGAAGTAACTAGGGGAAGGGGATGGGGGAGGGAGATTGCTCTGGGGAGAGTGATCGGCACATACAAAGGCCCTGGGGTCAGAGTGTATGGGAGGGTTCAGATCACTAACAAGGGAAAGAGTCATTCATGGGGCATTTAGACTCAATTGAGCAGAAAACAGAGATGAATGGGGCCAGTGGGAAAGGAAGAGGACATAGGGTGTGGTCTAGTGACCAGAAGGAAGGTGTCACCTTCCCCTTAAGAAAGGCAGAAGACATATATCAAACCCCTTCAGGGTCTGTGCCTCCTGCGTCATCCTGTCAACTGTGAAACAGCAAGGCACTTGAATCAGTGCTGTTTTGTGGATGAGGAAATGGGCTCAGAGAGGTGAAGCCTTGTCCCCGAGGTCTCACAGGGACAGCTGACAGAGCTGGGTCGGATAAAGCCTGCTTTCAAAGGGAAGAGTTTCTAACTAACAGAAATTTTTAACACTTCAGCTGCCAGAACC